TAGTGACGGGGACACTATACTGTAAACAGGCGGCGTCCTTCGGATGAGACGTAAAACCGAGGTCCTGACTCTCTGTGGTCAAATCCCAGGGTGTTTCTCGAAAAGAGTAGGGGTGTACCCCGGCGTCCTGGCCAAATTCTCCATCGGCCTTTATCAATCATGGCCTCCTAACAATCCCCCTCTATAAATTGGCTTAATTACTCTGCTCTCCTCCCCACTGATCGCTGATCGCTGTGGTGAGCGTTCTGGCGCACTATGGCTGCCGTCGCATCATCCAGGTGGATGCTGCACATTGGTGGTGGTGGAGGGGAGTCCCCATTGCCCGTAAAGCGCTTTGAGTGGAGTGTCCAGAAAAGCGCTATATAAATGTAAGCTATTATTATTATTAATTAATTAAACAAACACTGATCTTATACTTTAACTACTGTATCTGGACTCGTTGGCCCTTAGATACATGAATCATTTATTAGACAGTAAATAAAGAAATCAAAGAATTTGCCAAAATCCAGTAAAAGACTTACTCAGTGTTTGCTAGTTTAATGATGGCTTTCGTCAATAGCATTGGCCACAGTTCTGTTTGACATGTTGTAGCTGGGAGCAATATGTTGTTCTCCTCATCAAAAGGCAGTGTGTCATCTACTGTGATCTTTCTCCAGCACCCCTGGGGGATAAATAAGTTATAGGAAAATTATTACTAACTCTATTATTAAGTTAACAGTGATATGTTCTCCCATCCATCTTTGTTTTGGCTTATATATTTTTAAACAGGATTTAATCATCCACAGACTCCTTGGAAATGCCTGACTACATCTTTCTCATATTCATCATCCACCAAACCCAAGAACATAACTTCTAATAAGCAATGTGAACAGCCATGTTTCAAACAAGATACCCTCAGATACCTAAACAAGAATATTGTTTTTATTATTAAATCAATTATTATTATTTTATTAAAAATTAGGTCTTTTGATGCAAAACAGCCAAGAACGGCTATATACAATACTTTGTTTTACAGATTTCGATATACTGGCTTAGACATTATTCTCTACATGTAGATACAATATTTAGATGTGCAAAAGGGACAGAAAAAGTGATAAATATTTACTCTGTTAGAAGTGTTAAAATTTAGACTGCTATTTTTTTCACAGAAATAGGCTCACAACTTACAAAGGGACATTTGGACATTTCCTAACCTGCTTCAGAGCTGGGGAAGCCTCCTTGCTACAAGGCCCCAGCGTGCTTTATATATTGTATGTGAATTGTAAGGACACATGAGAGCATATAAATATAAAAATAAACCAGAAAATCCTTTCTAATCAACAGGTAAAAGGAAATGTGTTTCAAAATCTGTACAATTCTGCTCTACAAATAAAAATGAAATTAAAAAGACCATTTTTTAGTATTATGTTAAGCAAAACAAGCAGCCTTAGTAATATCTTACCTCCATAAGGGCATAAAAGTAAATGCATGGAAAGAAATGAAAGAAATAAAGAAACTAAAGTATAGTAGCACAGGTAAATGTCTGTGAATTATAACCCAATCATCACTGTAAATTACAGTAGAAATCCCAGTGGCTTGCTGAACCAGAACCAACTGAAATTACTGTAACAGGGAACATAAGCACTCATTAAGTCAACAATTTAGAAATCCAGTTGATCAAGTTAGAAAGATGTTCATTTCTGACAGGGCCTTCTCCTGCTATGCCCCCAAGCTCTGGAACTCTTTGCCCGAGGATATTAGAGAGTCACCTTCTCTAAACTCCTTCAAATCCAGACTCAAAACCTTCTTCTTCAGAAAAGCCTTTACTTAACTGGTTCCATTCTTCACCCCTCTGCTCTTCTTAATACCACCTTCCATGGTCTCCTCTATTGTTTTTGTTGTATTGTTGTTATTATAATTGTGTCCTATCTTGTGAAATATTCTTAATTATTGTTGTAATCTTCTTATTTATTGTTATTGTCATCCTGTAAAGCGCTTTGAGAAGCCACCTTTAAAGGCACTACATAAAATAAAGTTTATTATTAATTATATTATTATTATTATATCCATTTTGTTCCACATTTCCTTATACCATTTTGGAATCATTGCCCACCACACTCAACTTCCGATTGCATTACTAAAAACCTTCTTTAGAACTTTCTCAAGGCAGCTGACTGTGTTATTTATTCCAGGCTTTGGACAAAAGCTGTAATTTGCATGACTGTTAACAGCTGCAGAACTCATCATCAATGCCACTGGAAAAAGAATCCATACTAATGAGCCTGAACATACAGTAAAAAAGAAGCTTCATTATGAACATTCAGACCTGTACATACAGTCTTCAGTATACTATGTCATAAATGTATATTAATATATTATTATAATACCGATACTAATACTGATATTCTATTAAAACAGTTGTTACTGAGTAGAATAAACCCTGGGTTTAAGAGACTATAGGGAAAGGGTGTTCATTATTGTAGAATGTCTGTTTAATCATGAATTATGTTTTTTTAGCTCCAAAATGCAAGAATATATGAGAAAAAACATATACTTTATATATATATGCTTCCTGCGTTTTTAGACTTATTTTTGAACGATTAACACAGCCATTAAAATTGTTCTTGTGGCTTTCTTATCATAAATATACACATTCTTCATTGAATGTGTTTAATAAATAAATAAACAAACAAACAAATAACATCACTTTATTAACCCTTTACAATTTCTTGCATCAGGAATGATCTTTTCGCATACCCCAGCTTGCTCTCCATGAGACACAGACACGGAGAGAGCCTGGGGTCAGAGCGCAGGGTCTGCCATTGAACGGTGCCCCTGGAGCAGTTGGGGTTAAGGGCCTTGCTCAGGGGCCCAACGGAGATGGATTCCTCTGCCGGGTGTGGGATTTGAACTGGCAACCTTCCAGCCACAGGCGCAGACCCTTAGCCACAGAGCCACTGCTTCATACATTACTGTAATTACTGATATTGCTGATTTTTAAATCAACTGTTTGTAGTATTTTTTTTACCTTGCTTTGTTATTTCTAAAGTTCCCTTAAGCACAATTTGTACAAATGTATGTTAAATCTGAAATCCACTAATGCAAAGACCATTAAATTAACAATTTATTGTAGTAGTAATTATGTTGCTTTTTATGTGAAGGTTTGTGTAAACTTTTATTTTGATTGTTCATTTAGAAAAAACATAAATGTTGAGGGTGATGTATGGAAAAAATAAAAATGCTTAAGAAAAAAAAAATTAGCCCAGAATATGCAATCAAATAATAATAGCAAGTAATTTAATAAAGAATAAGAAATAATGTTTTTATTTATAAATTGCTGGTAAGACTGCTATACGTGATGTTTTTTTTTACAAATTACATAATAAATATTATGATAAGGCTAAGATGGGATCTACAGACTTTGTGGAAGGTTCAAACAAAGGTTGACATAGGAGATATCTGGCCATGTACTGTACAATCAGCTCATGGTGAGCTCACTTTGCTTTATCATTCAGATCTGTGTGTTTCAAAGTTCGGGGCTCTTTCAAGATATTCTTGCATTATCCTGTTTGGTCAATAATTTCCTAGGAACTGATACTGATGTTACATTTTTTAAGTTTGCTTTTACTGTATTTTTCTGGCCTCCTCCAATGTTACTGCATTGGCTAAACCTGGAGAAGATACCCTTATTCTGGAGCATTGGACATTGACATCTGAATGACGTGACTAACCAAATGGAGCCAGTGGTGGATGATCACAGTTTAAATGCGTGTGTGTCTACTAAGGAGAGAATAGTGGAACATGTATCTTCCCTATTGATACATTAAACTTTCCACAAACAGCATCAGTGATATGACTCAAGTTCTTTTAAACATCTCCCGTATGTTGTCCAAGTTTCAGCCCCACACAATAAAGTAGGAACGACGACTGCATGCTAGAGGAACAGCTTTTTTTCAGTTGTATCCTTAAACACTCATTTCCCCAGGCAACCAAAGGTTGAAGATTTCAGGCAATATAGTACTAGATTTCTTCATCATTATCACCTTTCTGTGAAAGATAACTCTCAAGATATAAAAGCATTCTACATTAAGACATTCATGGTGAATACGAATTGGTGACTCTGGGGAATGCCTAGAGATATCTGTCAAGGCACACTACAGTTTTTCTTTAGTTAAGGACCAGAATCACTGGAGGCTAAATAATTTACCCTCCATTCACCATCAAATCAGCTGCACTCTAGCAGGGAGCTTGCCTGTTAGCAAATCAAGATCTATAATGAATCGATTGGTGAAAATTACTGCACACTTCATTGTGAAGCAGGTGTAAGATGCTGATGAATTTAGGAGGAATTAGAGTGGATCTGGATCTTTTTAGAGTGCCTCTTGATCCAGAGAGTCAAATGTTTTTTCAAACAACACTGTTCAAATGTCAAGTCAAACAACACTAAGTAGAGATGTTAGTGTTACTCCTGATATTTTTCCTATAATTGATTAATCTAAAAAAAGACCCTCTTGTTGGCTGTGCTTCTTCAGCAAGAGTAATATATATCCAATGTCTCTGATGAACACAGACCTTACACACATAAATACAGACACAAACAAACATAAAAATCCTTCATTGCCCAAAAAAATACAAATACTTGGGGAGAATTTATGTAATCATCTTGAGAACAATAGGCTAGAGAGTGATCCGTCTATAATTTCCACAGAAATTCCAGAGAAATTTGGATCCCTTTCTTGAAGACTGTCACTATGATGGCATCTTTGAAGTCATCTCTAGTTGACTCTAGAGCTTTAGGATGACAATCTGGAGATGTAGTGTTAGCTTCTGTCCACTGTACTTAAATATTTCAATTGAAATTATAGCTCTTCCTACTGCTTCTTCATTTGTGGGGTGACTTTCATCACATCCTTAAGGATCAATACGGTTCCAAACCGGTCTCTTATGTTGTGGGATTAAACTGAATATACTGTTCCCAATAGACTGTGACATATGGTGAGATGAGAAGATCAAGTTACCGTTTACAATAGGCTTCTAAATATTGGTTATACCCCACTACTCAATTTAACATATGTCAATTTTTTCATAAGAGGTTCAATGGAAGGTTTTCCATGGTCTCACATCACTAACATATTCCTAAGATCAACAAAAAAAGGAAACCTCAGTCTTTAAAAATAAAGATTCTTTCAGTTTATCTGTAATACCTCTCTACTATCTACTATTAAACTGCTGATTGGTATAACGGGTTAGAAGAGATATGAGCAAACTCAGCAATGCCTGAAAAGAATTGAATGTGGCATGGGCCTTAATATAAAAATATACTTGTTACGACCCCAAATGTCTAGGGGTAAAGGGGTGTAACATTTAGGATAATTATTTTGGAAGCAGGTGGGTTCTGGTGAGGGACTAGGAAGCGTGATAACAAAGGTGGGTGCAAAAGTGATGATTTTAAGTTACTTACCATCCAAAAGAGTTTCACCACATATTTCCCATAGACATTGTACAGTGGTATGTGGCCTTTCACAACCTTACAGAGTGAAAAGATATGCTCCCAGGGCTTCCACGAAAGAACAGAGGGATCTGGTGAACCCTGCTTTTCCAGATATGGTGTATTTCCATTGCATATTTTCCAAACAGTGTAGATTTCACTGATAATCCATCTTATAAGCTAGAAGAAAAAATATTATATATATACTCATTTTGTACATTTTGAACACACATCAAAACAACAGCCTAAATGAATTAATGTAAATTGCTTAAAATTTAAATTTTGAATGTACTTAACCCTTGTCCTCTTTTTCACCGTTAAACTGAAGATAATTTTGCATCAATGCAGTTTTTTAAGTGTGAGACAAATTTATCCTTTAAAAACACTTGGGAACACCACAAAATCATTTCTGTGATTGCACTGTTTTTTGTTTGAGATTCTCAAAATGAACTATTTACCATCTTACAATTAGAACATTACAATTCTTATAGACTTAGAATGGAGTTTTCTACGCTAAGCATAAATTGAATCCTGGACAATTAGCATAACATTCACTTGTCATCTACAATACATTTTTACAATTACGTTGTACTCACAAATATTTATTTTCAAAGAAGTCACTGCTTATTAGCTAATGTATATTGTATTATTATGTTACAATATGTTTAAAAATTCAAATACATAAGACAATTCTTATGAATGGCTTTGACAGATGGTTCATCAACGTATACAAGTTATGCATAGTCATGGACATGACAGTTATGAGTTAATCCAACATGAAAAGGTGATTATATGACAAGTGATCACCTATCATATGTAAAGATCATCCCATAACCCTTACTGCTTTTAGGGGGGAGAGACAGAGACTCTCCTCCCCTACATTCAGCCAATGATGGCAGCACACAACTCTTTTCCCTCAGTGAGAATACACAAACAATAAACCCCAGAATCCCATTTTGAGCATTGTTACATAGGTAAAGTCATTTCAATAACCATTTGAAAAACAAAGACTAAAGGCAGATGAGGGTCTTCCCAGAAAAAGTATTATTTAGCTTAGCACAGAAAAACACCATTCTTAAATGATGTCAACTGCCAAAAACACCACCAGGGAGTGCTTCTGGATATTTGTAGTAACTCTTGCCAAGACTATGATAAGAAAGATTTGAAGCAGCCTAAATGATGTGCCATGAAAATAATAAATAATAATAAAGTACAAAACAAAATGTAGTTTCCAATGCTGAGGCTGCTACACAACACTTACCTCACTACCGATTAAATGTTCATTTGCAGAAACAAGGTCAAACCAGGATTCATTGTCTACAACAACAGGAGTCTGAAATAGAATTAGAAATTAATGAGTTTTTGAACATCACACTTTCTGTACAAAGCTCTAAAATATAATGTTATTTTGATCCACAGTTATTATAATACAGCTATAATTTAATTTGATAAAACCTGTCAAACAACAATGAATTAAGTGAATTAAATGCATAAGAATGCACAAAGATATGATTGAATATACAGTATCACATATATGATGAATGTCATTATATGAATATCATTACAAATCGAACTTTCGGAACATTGTTCTACAAATGAAACTTTTTAGAAAAAACATACTAGAAGATACTGTCCTCTGTTATTTCAGTCTCAAAGTGATAAACCTTATACAGTGGATATAAAAAGTCTACACAACCTTATTGAAATTGCAGGTTTTTGTGATGTAAAGCCAGAAATCAAGATAAATCATGTCAGACATTTTTTCATCTATAATGTGACCTTGCAACCAAAACAAATCAAGAGAAAAACAAATAGATAATTATTAGGAAAAATAATTGAAATAAAAAAAACCCTCAACTAATACTTTGTGGAAGCACCTGCATTTATTACAGCAGTAATTCTTTGTGAATAAGTCTCTATCAACTTTGCAATTTTATCCAACTCTTCCTTGCACAAAAGATCAAGGTCTTTCATATTGTCAGGGGATCTCCTGTGCACAGTCGTCTTTAGTTCCACAGGTTTTCTACGGGATTGAGGTCTGGGCTCTGACTGGGCCATTCCAAGAGTTTGCTCTTCCTTTTCTGAAGCCATTATCTTGATATTTGGAGCTAGTCTTTATCCCATCTATCTTGACTAGAGCCCCTGTCCCAGCTGAAGAGAAGCAGCCCCAAAGCAAGATGCTTCCACCACTATGCTTCACAGTAGGTATGGTGTTCTTTGGATGACATGATTAATCTTGATTTCTGGCTTTACATCACAAAAACCTGCAATTTCAATAAGGATATGTAGACTTTTTATATCCACTGTATATTAAAACGCATTGAACTAGAAAAATAACATCACTACCTTGTTTAACATAAATTCAGAAGGACGCTTCCATGTATAAACCTTCAATGACTGAGGCAGCTCGATTTTCCCTTCTGGGTCTTCAAAATACTGCTACAAAAAAAAAAGTTCTCACAGTGTGACTGAGTATACTGTTGGCTTGTTTCATCAGTTTTATAAAAAAAAACAACTATCTTTGTACACTGAATGTCTCCGTTTAAATAGTATAAGTGTGTTCTTTCAAATCTTAAAACCAAAGACCTTTATTTTTAATCACATTTTTTTAAATCAGTTTCTTAATTTTGCAATACAAATAGAAGAATTAAATTATAATATGCAAATATCTTTAAAGGCAAACACCTATATGCTGTACATACTGTAGCTTGTCACAAGCATACCAAATCATTTCAGGATATGGCAGTAGAATAGTGATATATATATAAAAAAGAAACATGCATGTGTGGATAAATACTGTATGTTTGACTGAGGTTACATTTCCTGTGACTGCAACTGAGTTTTACTTACAATGCAGGGACTTTTTCCAGATTTCTCCCGATCTTTGGATCCTTTTGTTCCTTCCCATTTTTCTGCATTTATATCTGTTTCATTCCATTCAGGCCAGATAGGAAACCTTCCTTTTCTTGGTTCATTCAATCCTTCAGAAGCACTGGTGATCATAGATGATGCCCTGTATTCCACAACAAAACTTATAATAGCAATAATGCATTCATGAATAATTCATTATGTTTTAAGAATCACAAACTTATTTTTTAGACAAATGTTGTCCAACACAAATTGTTTTCATGAGAATTCAAGATTAAATGATGGAGTTTGAATCAACAACGTAATATTTGTACTATAGCAGGAAACTTAATGGAGACATGGTCTCTTTATTGTTGAAGCTTAGTAGTGAATTGCACAGTTGTTGATGATGATATTGCATTCAACACCAAAGAATACGATTTTACTGAAAGAAGGGATATTGGGGATATTGCTCATATCAACCCGTAAGGAGGTATTCCTGCTGAGAAAAAGGGTGGTCCCACCTATACCTATAGAAAGAAAACAGTTACCCACAATGATTCAAAATTCACATTTCTTAAATTCAAATAATATTCGCTACTGTGATTGATTTCAATACAGTAGTGTTAATGATGCTGGCTTTTTACACTGGAATATTAAAACGTGTTTTCTGAAACAGATACAGATACAGCCATTCGGAATGCTCAAAACATAATGCACAACACTGCAAATAGCATACTCCATTTCACCACATTGTAACCTGCAGTACCCTTTTATTTTTTTCAAATATACCAGATGCAGAACTGTACTACTTTGTAAAACTGCCAGGTGGCATGGTAACTGCTTAATGTGGCATGTGGAGGAATTCTGGACTGTCACGCAAAACGCTTCAGTTTGAAACCCAGCCAACACCCCCATGCCCCATGGAGAAAGTCTTTGTCCCATGATCAGTCTTATTTATGTACTATATTAAAATGTTTATTAATTTCATACATCACAGAATGTTAAAGTAGGGCTATTTTACAAAGCAAGATTACACAGCAGGGTATATAAAAATAGTTTATTCTAATAGGCCGTTGTGAACATGATGTTTTTTGCATTAAAAAATCCATATTTGTCTTAATGCTAATTTAAGCCAATTGTAATAAGGAAACAGATACAGTAACTTTATTTGAGATTTTAATTATAAAATATATTATAATATATATTATATAAGAGCGAATCAACATAAAGGGTAATGAAATGAAAGGGAAATGAAAGCAGTGTTCTCACTAGAGTTCAACCTGTGGTTAGCATGCAGCCCTGTGATAAACTAGTGCACTACCTTAAGATCAATTGCAACAAACTTGGCCATTGAAACTAGTCCGCAGATCCGTACTAGACTTGTTCTTAATTGCAAGGAGCCCAAAGTTAAAGCAGAACTCTAGGATGTTCCCAAATATAGTGGTAATAATATTGTCATTAAGTAATGAACACATGCATCCGTCGATTGAAAATCAATGTAATATTTAATAAAATTGCTTTCTAGTCGCATCACAATTATTCATTATGCAGTTTATTAATACATGTTTTTATTAATAAAAGTGTAATTTATAAATAAAGCATATAATGTCTGCTTTTATTAGTACTACAGCTAATGCATGTAGAGCCGATATGTACTATCGGTATTTTTTAAATACCAAACGGTAGTGAAGAAAACTGAAATTAAGGAAACACTGGTTTCAGGGTGAAAGTCTTAAAAGCGTTTTTGTCCCATCTGAGCATTAATTTAATAGACTGTTTTTATTTTTTATTGTGATGGGACTCTATGCTTTCTCAGGGGAAGGCTAAAGTACATTCAAAGTCTTAAGCTGAAATATGTGCTAAACACCACAGGTAAAACTTTGTTGTTCCTGCGTATTTCTAACGTTTCTAGAACTCAGATGAAGCAAAATAATTTTTTTAACTAATAACAATATAATATTTAACTGAAACAATATAATTATATCAACTATTAAGAAAAAAAAAGGGCAGAAAAAAACATAAAACTATCATTTAGATTTTACATTTCATAATTTAAAAATATACATAGTGTTATTAAAATTAGTATTTAAAACTAAATGCTGTAGACATGTAAACAACTCATTCACAATTTATATTTAAGGGCATACTCTTATTTTAATATTTGACATACTGTGACATACATAAATGTACATACATAAATTTATCAGAAATGAATGAAACTTTGATTTGACTGGGAAGGAAGTGAACCTTAGATCTTCTCAGTAGCAGGAGAGCATTTAACCACTGTACTCAAGTGCCACTTGGGTGCAACATGCAACATTAACAGACTATGAGCATTCCATTGTCCATAACAACAATGAAAAATGATTCCAAAATAACCACAAGTGATATTTTCAGCTACCAAAATCTCTTTAGTTACATGATTCCATATGAACAATTCCTATTAAGTATTAAGAGTCCTACAATTTTTTACAACAATAACAAAAAGTACAATATTCTTAGAAAATGTTAAAACATTATAGCTTTTTATAAAGTATACTGTATAAACATTATATAGTTAGAACGAGCACGTCAAAACTTTTATGAAATAATCCCAGTAAGTTAGTTAAAGACTTTGATGCAGAAAATGATTATGAAGAAGATGGAATACTGTTGTGTACTCTATTTTTTGTTTAGCTACCACTACCAGTGACTGTATGTACATCAGGTATAATATATTTATATGAATAAATTAAATATAGTTTATGACATTCTAGATGCTAAACTTGTTTTTATTTTCAGCTACCAAAATTTCCCTTTAGTTGTATAATTATATATTAATGTTCGATATTAAGTGTATTTAAAGATGCACAGTAGAGAAACATTAATAATAATTGCTTACACTTATATAGCGTTTTTCTGGACACACCACTCAAAGCGCTTTATAGGTAATGGGGACTCCCCTGCACCACCACCAATGTGCAGCACCCACCTGGGTGATTAAATGAAGCAATCATTCCACTAACATCTAACGCACCATAAGATCCACTTTTGACAGTTGAGTCACACAATGTACTGTGCCGTAGTACCACAAACACAGTAATAAGAATTGACAAGCATTCTGAGTGGCTATAATTGTATCACCTTTTAACAAAATAGGTTGTGCCAATTAATATAAATACAGTTAAACATTATCAAAGCACACTTTAGTTATTGGCAACCCTTTTTATGAATTTAAGTAATTCTAAAATAACTTAAATAATGTACACCTGTAGGCCAAATCAGCAATGACAGATGTCTAAAACCCATGCAAAGCACATTTTCCTCAGTCAAACTTAAAAGCCCAAGAGATATTTCAATGGCTTTAATCTCAAATGATTAACCTGCATTGATTAAAGTTTAATGGTACTACAGTGCATTGTAACCTCCCCTTTAAAAGGCTAGAGTTCTGGTGCTTTCCAAATTCACTGAATATTCTAAGCCATGTTTTTCTAAGAACTGTAACCATACTATGACTTGTTAAATGAATCAAATATTTACTTTCATCAGTTCTAATGGAATTATTAAAGAGTGCTTATAGGAATTAATTTCTGCATTTGTATATCCATAGATCATGCAGCGTATGTCCATATCCAGAGATCTACTCTTCAAGAAACATCCATTTTACAATATACAACTGGATGTAAAGAAGAAGAAACAGCCGAATCTCTAAGAAATACACCAAAAGTTGTACATTACTTAAAATATATATGACACATAACTGATGAAAACTTTGATTAACTTAAAAAAGCTGACGTCTACAAGCACTCACGGACAAAAAGCAGTTTGCATCTTCATGCTTTAATCTGTGTCACTAACATAATAATTCTTTGATCCCATAACTTATTGCCATAAGTGGCAATGGGACAAACCCAGGGGCTGGACTTTCAAGGCGATGTTCTGACAAGATGTACACTGTGTTTCTCTGAAACTGTGTGAATACATCTATTGCAATATCAAACTCTAAATTTTAACTTCATGTGACAGAATCAGCATGCAGAACAGTAGCACTGACATGAAGACCTGGGGAAATCAGGCAATGAAAACTAAAAACAAAAAAAAAACAGTCTCCCAGCATTATATCTGCTTGTCAGTCCTTGAGAATCATTTTATTAGGATTTCCTTTATAGGTCTTGTCAGATTCATATCCTTAGCTGAAAGGATGTGCAACAAGTTGAATGTACTAGTAGTTTTGTACATCTCCTGCTCTTTACTCTACTGTAATTCAATAATTTACTGAAAAAATAGGTTCATTAATATAATATCTAGACATAGCAGTGTACATTTCCATAAAATATCTTTAGATAACAAAAATATAACCATCAGTACCTTAATATAGATTATTAAAGAAAACTGAATAAGCAAGATCTCCAAAGTGAGGTAAGTTTAGAGTTTGCAGAGCTTTGAGCAAAGTTTGAGCAAATTAAATTCATATATTGACTGTATTGGTTCATAATGCAAATACATACAAAATATAGAATCACCAATAAAAAATCACTCTTGCACTTCATCAAAATTCCAGTTACTGTAGTTAAATAGCTTGCAGGTCTCTTTGGAATACTAATATTAGCTCACATTGTTCAAATGTGGGCTGACATTTAAAAAAAAAAAAGACTGACTTGCAACACATCCAGCCCAAGTGAAATGACCCAAATATGTCCAACATTGCTTGAGTAAATTTATCTTCATTCTTTACCACTATTCACACTATTTAATATATCCTAATGTTAAAATGTTTGTCTGCATACAGGCGAGGGACACTGCTCTATTGTTTTAACAAACCAAGATCACATCGACACTTTTTTAATCAGTAAAAGGATGAAAGATAATTTAAAGGGTAATGTGTATTTTTCTTTTTTTGATCCACTCTCAAGATCCTAGGTACAAGGAATAAAAGTACATCTTTATGTATTTGCCTTTTCATCTTCTCTATAATCCCACAACTCACCACTGAAAATGCATTTAGTTTTATAATAATAATAATAATAATAATAATTAATAATTGCTTACACCTATATAGCGCTTTTCTGGACACTCCACTCAAAGCAGCATCCACCTGGATGATGCGACGGCAGCCATAGTGCGCCAGAACGCTAACCACACATCAGCTATCAGTGGGGAGGAGAGCAGAGTAATGAAGCCAATTCATAGACAGGGATTATTAGGAGGCCATGATTGATAAGGGCCAATAGGAAATTTTGGCCAGGATGCCAGGGTTACACCCCTACTCTTTATGAGAAACGCCCTGGGATTTTTAACGACCACAGAGAGTCAGGACCTCGGTTTTACGTCTCATCCGAAGGACAGCGCCTATTTACAGTATAGTGTCCCTGTCACTATACTGGGGCATTAGGACCCACATAGACCGCAGGGTGAGCACCCCCGGCTGGGTTCACTAACACCTCTTCCAGCAGCAACCTTAGTTTTTACCAGGAGATCTCCCATTCAGGTACTGACCAGGCTCACACCTGCTTAGGTTCCGTAGGCTGCCAGTTGTGAGTTGCAGGGTGATATGGCTACTGTTTTGCTGCTGCTGTACTTCTTGAATGATAATTACTGCTTACTTATACAGACTAAAGCATGTTCTTTCCTACATTTGTTCTTTAAAAAAAACAGAATGCAACAGCAATATTTAAGATCTTTTTTAGACATACTGTATAACAGTATAATGCAATAAATTTTATGTAATCCCATTGCAAAAGCTGGTATGGATGGTCACCAGAATTAATCGATTTTTATTCAATCAGTAGAATATCCTACTTTGACATCCATTGTAAGATCTAAAGATTTGTTTTAGATATGAATGCAATGCTTACATCTGTCCTGTGAAAATTTCCTTGCTTTCACTGAAAAAAATGGCAAGAACAGACCATGATGGAACCACATCATGTATAAGAGCAGGTAAAATGAGTGCATTTTGGTGTACCATCAGAGTGCTAAATTCTCTTCTGGTTTTCTGCAAGTAACTGTAAGTGCTGTCTGTGTACACACAAAAATTATAGTTAGGACATCAAAACACAAAGTGACAATATTTTTCCCATTATTGAAGAAACGTGTGGATTCAATCCAACTTTGAATACACTGCCAGTTGTGAAATCCAAAGCCAGCATTCAAAATCGGTTTTCTGCTTTTAGCATATTGATAGTGTTCTGTGAACATATCATAAGATGCCTGTAGTTAACTGAATAATATCATGATGTAACATTCATAATGATTTTCAGCTGAAGAATGCACGTTATGATTTAATGTTGGGCATTCCTTTGGAATACCAGGCCTGATTTTTACTATAAGGAGATAATGCACCACAGTCTACAACCACTAATTCTTTGCTTGTTCATGTACTGTTGTATTGTTCTCCTATGAAGAGATGTCAAACGATTCTGAACAAATTAATCTGTAATGACTTTATTAGAATACCTAACTTTTGAAATCAGCTGTCCTAGACAGTACATGAGTATATGACAACATAATCTGAGATCCAGTAAATAAATGCATAAAAGGTCCAGTGATCCAGAGTAAAATTTGGGGACTTCCTAGATGTTCTGATCACTATACGATTTTTACACAGCTTTTAAAAATGTTTTTTTCCTTTTGCAGAGTTTCAGAAGTCTCTTTAAATTGAGTTCTGTACTGTACATATTACTGGTAATCCTTAATAACACAGCTGCTCAACTGTTTTTGCAACCGTTGTTTAACTTTATCATTTTGGAATTAGTTTCCGTTGCTTTATATTCAATTCTTTGGTTTTGCTAGTCAACTTGTTGCCGAATCTTCTTATGTTTCGTTATGAAGTCTAATGACAGTTCTCAATTTTTAGATATATAATATCAACAAATAGGAGCTAAAAACTTTTGTTGGAAACAAGTAAAAGTCAAATAGAGTAAGTGTTGTTATAATGAAATTAAAATGAGCGCGTATCATGGCGATACTATTACTAGGTTATTTCAAGATTCGTGATACAGGTGCTGTACCTTATATTAACATGAGCTTACGTATGCAGTGAAACACGAATTTATATACTGTACGTACTGTATTATTAAGTAATGTTGATTGCGTTAGTGACAGCCTAATAACTAGAAAAACGAAATCCTAAAAATATCGTTAGCAATACCGTTTGAAAGTGATGAAAAAGTTCTTAATATAAGCACAATTTAAATTACTATTAAAGCATTGTGAGAGACGTGTTTTGTTGCGAAAAAGTAATTTGATCTAAGTTATTACAGAGTAGTATTAGCTACCAATCTTACTCTTTATGCGGTGTCTGTCCGTGAGATGAATTCACTCGGTTTGAAGAAGCCTCTTTTTTCTTTGGCGGTTTCGACATAATAAACACAGTTTGGTTCAAAATGAAGAGAAAACCCCAGACGAAGTAAAACACTTATATATTCTTAAGCTGCTTTCGACTCTGCTGCACAGGAAGTTTGGTACGTTCCTAAGCAACGCAAATCTACAGTTTGGGGTAGCCGGAGGGAAGGAGCCAACTGGGTCTCAAACACCGTCGTTCGTTACCTTTTTTTTGGAAGAGATCTATAGCGAAAAAACACAAATCGTTTAACGAATACACATAATACAAAACGTGCCGCCAGAAAAAAAAGGGAATGTTAAAAAGACAAATAAATCCGGAAACGGAACTGTTGGGTTTATTCAAAATTGGAGAGAAAAATAGAAAATAAATACAACTATGAAAAAAACAATAAAACAATTGACAAGAATAGACAAAAACCTTGTCATATGTCCGACATATGCTGTCATAAAATCTTTTTTTCTTAAATAAGCCTTTTCAGCTTTAATTAAAGGATCATCAGGTCGTAAATAGTGGGCCTAGTGAAATAGTGAAAAGTTTTTAAAAAATCTGAGCTCCTCTCAGTATCGCTGTTGAAATGACCACGTGGAATTTAACGACAGGGTCGATAGAGTTGTTTCAGAAACTATGGTAGAGAAATATATGTAAATCAAGTTAAAAGCAGATACTGTATATGTTCGCTACGTGTCTTTGAAAATAATATACGGAAAAGAGATCATGGGTCAGCAACAACAACAACAACAACAACAATAATAATAATAATAATGCACCTTTCCAAACCCAAGAAAACTGTGCATAGTGATGAAGAAAACTAAAAAAGTACAATAAAAAATAAAAAAATAAACAAGAGCATATTACAGGTTTATACAGATAGAATGTAAGGCATATATACAGTAGTTAAACGTTGAGTTTTAAGTGTGGATTTGTTTAAAAATAATCTGAGAATTTATCTGTTGCTGTATCTGTTGAATTGTTGAAATGACCACATGGAATTTAAGGAACGGGTCAATAGATGTTTTAGAAACTTTGGTAGAGAAATACATGTACAGTATATCAGATAGAAAGCAGAGATATGTTTGCTACATGTCCTGGAAAATAAAATTCATGAAAGAGATCATTTCTGATGGTCATTGGTCAACACAACCACCAATAATAATAATAATAATAATAAAAAAAATAATAATAAGCAACTTATCAAACCCAAGAACGCCTTGCCAAGTGATGAAGAAAAAGAAAAAAAGGTACAATAAAGGGTTGAATAAAAAATAAACAAGAACATACAGGGTTATACGGATAGAATTATATAAAATTCTGGACATATTGCATCTTGCTGTCAATCCTCAATGTTACAAATGCATGACCTGCCCACTCGGCATTCGACATTGATAGAAGTTGCCTAATGAAGGAATTACTGTATTTCAAAGGTGAACATCTCAAATGTCTTAAAAGACATTACAGCAGCCATATCACCCTGCAACTCACAACTGGCAACCCACTGAAGCTAAGCAGGTGTGAGCCTGGTCAGTACCTGAATGAGAAACCTCCTGGGAAAAACTAAGGTTGCTGCTGGAAGAGGTGTTAGTGGGGCCAGCACCCTGCTCACCCTGTGGTCCATGTGGGTCCTAATAATAATTAGAAGAATTGCTTACACTTATATAGCGCTTTTCTGGACACTGCACTCAAAGCACTTTACAGGTAATGGGGACTCCCCTCCACCACCACCAATGTACATCATCCACCTGGATGATGCGACGGCAGCCATAGTGCGCCAGAACGCTCACCACACATCAGTTATTAGTGGGGAGGAGAGCAGAGTAATGTAGCCAATTCATAGAGGGGGATTATTAGGAGGCCATGATTGGTAAGAGCCAATGGGAAATTTGGCCAGGACACCGGGGTTACACCCCTACTCTTTTCGAGAAACGCCCTGGGATTTTTAATGACCACAGAGAGTCAGGACCTCAGTTTTACGTCTCATCCGAACGACGGTATAGTGATGGGGACACTATACTGTAAACAGGCGCCGTCCTTCGGATGAGACTAAGCAATTATTATTATTATTATTTATTTATTTTCAACCAAATATTTCATGCAGGGCTCAAAAGACAGAAGAGGATCAACTGTGACTCCCAGATTGCTGACTACCTCTGGTGCATGGAAGAGGAAGCCATCCACCATTACTGTGAAGCTCTCCAGCTTTTTCAACTGACATTTGCTATCCACCAGTAAAATTTCTGTTCTGTCACTATTTAGTGACAAATTGGTCAGATGGGCCATGGCTCATCCAGCCTTTTCTGACTCCTGTTCCTTCCCCAGACTCTTGCAGGATTCAATTAATTTCAGCAAGGGAAACACCTCCTCTCCAATCAGTGCCAACCCTTCTGCCGGGTGCTGTGCAGCGTGCAGCGTGTCAGAAGACGAATGTCTTGATTAGCCGGGATGGTCAGAGTACCATGACCTCCCTCATGCTCTCTTTGTGATATATGAGTCACAGTTATAAGAAGAGATAAAAAAAATCATTTCCACATTGAGAATATTCAAAAAACAAACAATCGTTAATAAAGAAAGGTTATCTGGTAATCAGTTACACTCTACAATTTCTGATTGATATTATATTGACTTATTAGCCTAGTTGCAGAGTCCCATCCATGAAAACTCATCACAAACCAATGTGGACTTAAATGAATCATTCACCCTACAGCCCTGATTTAGCCAAGAGTGACTGTTATTTGTTCTGACATCTGAAGTCTGTGCTTCGCGGTACACAATTTCAATATTATGATTCTTGGAGTCCACCATTGACAAGTGGTTAAAGGAGCAGAAGAGTTCTATTATTACTGAGGAATTGCTGTTTTGAAGGGCAAATGGGAAATGAAATGCACTGAAATGATGGGTTATCACAATGAGAAATAAAGCCAGTAAGGTATCTTCCTAGGTTGCAAAATATGCTTACTGTGTAGTGTGGTCTTATATAATGTCAATACATATATAATATTCAATGTATAATAATTGAATGTTATAAAACACCCTTATAAAAACATACTGTCAGCATGACAAATGAACATCACCATGACAGCACTCAGACATGCCTTTGGGTGAAAGTATACTGATGCAAACTGACAGGGAATGACTCCTGCCCATTTGAGCAGCAGGTGTATTCACACAATAGAATAATTGTAGAAATACCTGCATATGAGTAAAAAAATAAAACATGATGGAAGAAAACCTTTTTCATTTTTGAATATGGATTTAAATCTACAATGAGAAATGATTTTTGTACAGAAGCCAATTCAATTAAATGTATGAAAAGTTTCTGTGTTGTAATGAAACAGCTTGTTTCAGAGGGTTCCAAAGATGTTGTAGGCACAAAACACACTAGTGCTGCCTGGCTCTAGGCATAGTTAAGAGTGATACACTAAACCCTAAATACTGACAGGGGCTCATAAAGGCCACCTTCACAAGACTCCTAGACTAGCTGCTCACTCATGAAAGAGCTCCTCCCTACAGAAGATGGAACATGCTTTCATAAGAGCTGAAACCAAGCTCTTAATTCCACAGTGCAGCATCCCAATATTGTTGCAAAACAGGAATTGTGCTGGTGAATTATAAGGATGAATAACTGATGACTCAGGAAGTGCAGTCCAAGTCCAGCAACAGAAATGAAAGAGACCAAAGCTTAGTGGGACAAAAATAGCAGACAAGCAGAAAACAATCGTCCTAGAGGAAAGTGGGCCATTACATTAGCTGTTCTTTCCTCTGGAACTCCCCAAAATGTATAAGCCTACCCTTGAGAACATCAGAAAATTTAAAAAGGAGATATTTAGCTAATTTGGTTCCCACTACCTAATTTGCCTGAGGATCTCATCCAGCCATTTGCTGTAAGAAGCTCGGGGTCACCTTCAAAAACATGGCATTCTCAGTTTGATAGTGACTCAAGGGAGAGAGACCCCAGCTCTCCGCTGAACGGAGAACGGCACACAGTGGCCACACCCTACAGTACCCATGCTGTTACTGACACAGACATGTTAAGGTCTCTTGTTTCTACGTTTCACATGTGGTGCATTGATTGTTTAATTAGTAAATTAGTAAAGGGCTGAGAGCCACATTTTACATGGGGCTAATTTATTTGGTTAGTCTGGAACAGTATATACAGGAGCTTAGAGTATTATTGGATGCTGGACTAGTTTAGAGCAGGTTTGTGTTTCATGTGAACATAAGATTTGTCTTAATAAAGTCTCTTTTGCACAATATTTTGCTGTTTATCCTGATTTCAAGGTGCTCAGGCTCAGGCCTCAAGAGACACTTGTTTAGAGGGAGGCCTATCGTGGTATTATATTGTATCTTTCTAGAAGAAGGTAGGCCTGACATGAAATCGAAACCCACTCATTTGTTTCCAGGGCAAAAGCAATAGCTCATACGCAGAAGGGTCCCCAAACCCACTGGCATGTAGGAGTCTTACAATTTCAGGGACAAATGCATTCTTATAAATGTGTACAGAATTCATCCCAACAATGGCTTTAACTATTACTAAATTTAGTGCTGGCTGGAAAGACTGTATGCTTTGTTGCTGAGAAGTTTTCAAGGGATAGTTTTCGAATCCTAACAGAAAAAGTGGGAATGTGCTGTATACTGTAACTTCTACTTCTACATATGTGCTATATGCAATATGTATTGGTGGTATAATGACTTACACTAAATATTTTCAGTTTTAAACAGGCTAAACATTCAAGCCACACAACCCAGCTATGAGGGACTGCATCTGGCAGTAAAAAAAGGATAGTTGAATCCTTCCACGACAACTGCTTTTCTGAATAAAATGCAGAGCTCTCTTTGTGTTGTAGCTAAGGAAATATTTAATCTTTGTGTCACAATAGTGACCATTTGTAGGTAGTGTAGTTTAATAGTGTAGCTATGTTTAAGGAACTAGGACCTTTCTCCCTGCACAAGTTCTCAGATCCACCAGAACCACCAGTGCACTCACAGGCCAGCACAGGAAGGTGCTCTTTTATTCCTCTAGCAATTACAATAATATACTGTTCTACTGTCTACTCAAACAAAAGAACAAAAATAAAAGTATTCACAAAGGACAGCAAAAAACCCCAAAACAAATTAACATCATTGGCCCCAATCTGAAGAGCAAAGAAAGAAAAAAAGATCCCAGGAAAAACTACTTACATAATGCACAGTTATCTCTCTCTCCATTCTTTGCCATGTCCTTACAAATCCAGTCATTGAGTAAAAAATGCCAAAACTCCAGTGCCAGGGTCCTCCCCATGAATACTCCCTCCAGTCTGGCAATCCATCTTCAAAAAACAAAAACCCAGAGCAGTCTTTCAGTTGTCTCACTTGAACTTCTCATGTCTTATTAGTCAATGAGCTATGTGTTTTAATATACCTCCTGTGCAAACCACAGCAGGGGAAGAAGAGAGCACCTTAGAACCCAGGCCTCTGCTGACCTATAGTGTCTTCTTTCTGGCCAGAACTCCAGGATTGT